GACAAGGAAAGCAACCTAGAAAGGGAATGGGGGTGGGAGTCAGCAAATGGTTCAGCAAGAATAAAGGAGCCAAGATCTGGACAGAAACCTACTATTCAAACGAAGGCCCAACACACTAGGACCATTCTTAGAGCAACATATAGATCCCAAGTCATCTGCAGGCGGGTTGGGGTTCATAAAAATCTCCTTTATTACCACATGTCTGAACTCTAGATTGAGCTTCAGGGTGCTCATGCAGACAGAGAAATACTCACGGGTAGGGTCTAGGTCATTCTCAAGAAGTGCTGGGTCTGGGCAGTTCAGAACCTTCACACTTCACAGATCAGTTTTCCAAAGAAGACATACAAATGGGAAAGAGGTCTATGAAAAAGTGTTCGGTATCATCAATAATCAGGCAAATGCAAGTGAGATTATAATAAGAGTTCATGCCTCCACCTGTTAGGATGGATACAATCCAAAAGGCAAAGAGAGGTTTTTGTGAAGATACGGAGAAAAGCGAATGATTGCATTGTCGTTAGGAATGCATAGCAGAACTGTCATTATATACATAGTATGTCTACTCTTCAGAATCTAAAAACAGAATTATCATATGGTACTATGTCTTGAAAATCTCTATACTTCCATGTTTATTATAGCAACAAAGATCTGGGATCTGCCATAATATCCATCAATAAATGGATGGAAAAGAAATGGGCTATACACACACAATCGGTGATTTACTTAGCCACAGAAATGAAATACCATGATTTGCAACAATAATAATGAATCTGGAGGACAATATGTTCAATGAAACAAGCCACACACAGAGAGCACTGTTCTGTGGTTGTACATATGTAGAATCCATTGCAGCAGAATAAAATGAAATCAGCCTGAGTATCTTAATGGATGAATAGAAAAATGTGGTATGTACATATGATGGAGTATCAGCTGTCTGAAAAGGGAAGCTCTTTCTCCATTGTGATCACATGGATGAATTCGTAGAATACTGTGCTAAGTGAAATCAGACAAAACCAGACGGAGAGAAGCAAACAGTGTATGATGATTTCAACTTGATTTTAGAATTTTTAAAGGCTGGACTTAAAAGAAGCATAAAACAGGGACAGCAGAAATAGAGGCATGCTGGCAAGAGGCACAGTCAGTGATCAAATGACAAGCTCTGAGGCTTTAATCCTGTACTGATTGGGAAGAGGCAGATATATTCATTAAGTTAATCGTAATGATTGAACAAGGTATATGCATATATATATAGATAGATACATTCAAGTTTTATACCTTGCATGTATTCAACATTATCAATGAAACATAGTGTTTTATATTAATGTATTATCATATTCTGATGTAAGAGATGTATACAATTTCTAAGTGAAAAATAAAACACAGAATACTCACAAAACAGAGACTGTATCTGTCTTATTCACCAGCACACCCTGGTGTTAGAATATGGGTCCCCTCCATCCCATATATAAGACCTTCTGAAGCAGATCAGAACTATTGGCGTCAACACAGACATGTGACTCAAGAATGAAGGATTCCCAATCGATGGCTAACCACATCATCTCCTGTCTTTCGATGTGAGGGTTCTGAAGAACCTTCTGCATCATTCCTCTTCAAGGTGTTCGGCAGGGAATGGCCTCAGTGACCCATGGCCCCATCAGTTCACAAACACATCTAGTTCCTGCTCTCCTCCACCCCAGCATCTTACTCCATGCCCTTGCGGTGCACCCTAGGCCACTTCTCAAATGTTGAATGTCCATAAATTATACTAAGAACTGCTTTCTGATGCTAGGGAAAGGTGGCCTAGACTAAGACAGAGGTCCTAGTAAGAGTTAAAATGTTATTCTCTCTCCAAGTCAAAGCTGGCTTCATTACGCTGTGGTACCCTCCTTTCTGGAAAGAACTGAGGGATGCGGGACCTCCAGATTTAGATGCAGTCTTGATGTCTACTCCAGTCACACTACTGTGCCAACTAGGTAAGTATTTACTATAACCACAAACACACGTGTGTGTGTGTGTGTGTGTGTGTGTGTGTGTGTGTGTGTGTGTATGCGTGCATTGACACACCCAGACAAACATGTGCTTCTCAGGACTATTGTCACTGAGGAAAATGGAGTATGAAAAGTGGTAAACCACCATTTACTTTGTATGCTTCCCAACGTAGAATAGCAAGTTCAAATCCTAAGAAGCCAAAACTCTCTTCTACAAATTCATTCTTTTAACTTTAACTGACTTGGACTACAAGAGAAAAAGCTACAAAGGATGAGGGCATTGTTGGTATCAGTGTAAGTTAAAAGTCTCTTTCCCACAGCTTAGCGTGAAAAGGGGCGCTGTACTAAAATAAATGTGTTTTTCTGTTTGTATTATTACACAACCGTATATATGGAGCTCAGAACAACTACAAACGTGTTCACTGTTTTAAAAGAATGAAGATTGGCATATAATGAATAATTCATGACACTGGCTACAAAGCTCATCCAAAGTGACCTATCAGGAAACAATCTAGGGTAGAAGTGACATTCAGCTTATCATGGCGAAAAAGGACCAATGGGAACACCAGTGATTGCGTTGCTTACGTGGAATGCACTGTTTAAGGTAAAGCGCCAGTAAGTCTGACCCTCTCAGTGGTCATTAGCACCCTACAGACCCAGGTGGTACTGAGTCTTTAGAGTTAGGATTTACTCTGCTATTTGTGAGAACTTGTTTCATTTTTATCATTCTGTCCTTATACACTTTCCTCCACTTCTCAAAAACGGTCCATTTTCTTCAGTGTGATTCAGAGTTCAAAATATTGTCTGCTGGCTGTATTTGCGCTGACTTATACATCATGTCCGCAGCCATTGGTTTGTGAAAATCGAGAGCAAAGTCAGTGTCTGTCTACACTGAATCAGAAGCAGCTAGCAGAATCACAGCGTAAATAATGAGCCCGGATTCACAGCTGCTTTAGTATGCAATGAATCAGCATCTAATGCATGCCAGCCCACGCCCGTATGAACCCGGTCGCTCTGCCTCTGAGGTCCCAGGGCACTGGTTTGGTCCCTTAAGAGTTTCACTCTCTGAGAGGGCATATTGTTAAGTTGCCATCTGGCCCAACAGGTGAAGTGGCTCTCACAACCCTGAAGAGGCCCCAAGGGTCACTCCTGGGCAAGAGTTGGTCTACTAGGTAGTAGCCCAATTATCAGTTCATAACTTTCTTCAATTCTTCAAAAAGGATTGAAGGAAAGCTTCTCCACCAGGAAGTTTTTAGGAACTCCTAAATGAGAGTTAGTGGGTCAGAAAAGAGATCACTTACCTGGGGACCGGGCTGACCCTGAAATTGAAAAGAAGAGAAACAATTACAAATTGATGTTTGCAATGACTATTTCCAAAATACCATTTCAATACAATGAAATTTAAAATAGTTCTAAACATTGTTAAAATATCTTTAAAGATAGTAATATTGGTAACTTCCTATTGGATCTTCATATTTTGATCCTGTGGCACAAGGGTGATTGAGTGTGCTCCAGCATCTGAATGGGGAAGGAGGAAATGTCAGGAAGAACCCACCACACACACACACACACAATCACATCACAGTAACGTGTGAACGGGACACTGACAACACAAGTCTCCTGGCACACGGTTCCTGACCTGCACATCCTGACATGACAGACAGCTACAAAAAAGAGACCCTGGCTTTCTCATTGTTCCAATGTTTTGAGTTTTTGTTTTGTTTACTATCTTTCTTTTACTTTGTTAATCAAACCTAGGGACATTTTAAACAAGGTCTGCTAGGGAGGGCTCTTTGGAGGATGAAAATGCCTCCAACAGTCAGTAGAAGATGTGACCTCTGGCCAATCTAATTCGGTTCGAATGCCACTTTCTTGCCTAAGCTGATGCAAATCTCCAAGCAGTGCAAATAATTCCAGAGAAAAATCAACTGTAAATAGAAGTACTGATGGCAGAGTGCGCCCATAAAATCTCCAGCTGAGTTTTCAGGCAAATGAGACTAAAGGAAAGGTTTCTGCCAAGTTACAGGATCTTCTAAAATAAGGAAATCGACTTCTGGGGTAAGATGGTAGAATAGACGCTAACTCCTTGTAAAGTAGTGAAAAGGGGGAGAATGAACCATAATCCAAAGAGAGAAAGAACTTCAGAAATCAGAGTGAGGACGGAGCAGTGGGCCAAGAAGGGAGAGATACAAGGGCCATCTGGAATTAAGGGAAGAACTCACAGTACCAGGCAACTCCTTAAAAGATACCCAGACTGGTTCTGGAGAAGACAATGGCAGCCTAACCTACAGTTCTCGAGAGTCTTGAATGTAGTGGGAGGTTCTGCTGAGACAGTGGCTTCAGGTGTGGGTCCGTCTATGCCTGAGAAGGCTGTGGTCTAGTGCTATCTTGAGAGGAGATCTGTTAATGACAGCTTCCCTGGGAGCCTGAGAAGTCGAGGGTTCTGGAGTTAACCTGCCAGAGCCTCTAGGGAGAAGTGGGTGACCAGTGGCAGTAATGGGCGAGGGGAGAGTGAGACACAAGGTTCTAAGAGGCTCTCCAAATGGGAGGCTCATTGGTGAAGGATCCTGGGGTTGGTGTTCCTGCCTTTTGTGATGGCAATGCCTTCTTTAACAATAAGCTAAATAACTGTGCTAGCCTAAGGCGTAGACTGCACAGACACCCTTGCAACCTTCTCCCTCCTGCAGGGCGTTCAGTACTGAGCAGGACCAGGAAGCTGTGGCGCCTTGCGGCAATAGTACTTAGTGTTCTACCTGCTTCCGCTCCCATGCAGCACACTTGGGAAACCCCTTAGCTATGCAGATGGACACACTGCACAGCCTCTGGAGTGAGGGACAGCTACAAAGCTAAAGAAGCTTAGTGGTACTCCTGGTCTGCAAAAAGGGAAGCTGTGGTGTTGAGCAGGTGACTTCAGGACACTCCAGGTTAAGCACCAATTTGAGCAAGATCAAAGAGTCTCCAGCTTTAACCAACCACCCTTCTACCAGGCAGGACTGCAGGAAGATGCTGTTCCATGTGTTGGTTTTATGCTTTGGTGTTTTTTTTGTTGTTGTTTCTTTTTGTATCATTTATTCTTTATTTTCCTTTTATATCTGTTTCTTACAGTATCACTATTATCTTTTATTTTAATTTAAGAAGCAGAACATAGGCTTAAATCCCTATGTTCAATTAGAACTGTGGCTTGAGAGGTCATAGGTCCCAGGGGATAATCTATTACTATTGTGCTAAATGGACATACTAGTAAACTGACTCCCAGAGCCTTATTGTCATAATTGCATCTCTTAACCCTAATCAAAGAAGCTTCTATTTGAAGTAGATGGTAGTCAATACAGACACCCACAATTGGCCAAGGCACAGAAGAGAAGAAGAAACTTAAGAATGCTCAACCCTAAACGGAACAGCTAGATCACACCCTCTTCTCTCAAGGTCCACAGATCTTTGTGGAAGGACAAGAAGAAAGGCGGCGTAAGCTGTGAACCAGAGGTGGCCCATGACTACAAGAAAATAGTGTTCTCTGGACACAACAAGGCAACTACACATATGAACTCATAGTAGTTACTACAGCAGGCACAACACAGTTCAAGGTCAGGCGATACAAAATCTAAGCAGGGAGAGAGAAGGAAGACATGAAATCTCAGTCCGACCCAAGGACCAACTGGCAATTGATAACGTCTGGGGAAAATAGAGTCCGTTTTCTATAACAGCGTTGCTACTGGCAACTTGACCACGCTCGAGCGGAAGGCCACACATCCGGGAATATTTGGGAAGCATAAGAGGGACTTGCTGGGGGCAGGAAAGAGAGAGAACAAGAACTTGTGTGGGTAGCGAAGCAGGAGCAGCTCTGGAAGGAGTTTGGGCATTGTGAGTACAGTCAAAGCTCATTCTACAAAATTCTCAAAGATCCAAAAAAGATAACCTTTAAAAACATCTAAAGTATCATGAGGAAACAGTCTGTTTCATATAGAACACACCTTGATTTAACTATATAATTATTTATCTTCAAATAATGTTTCTCTGATATGAAAATAGGTGTAAGTAAGCCTATTGGATCTGATCCATTTTAATCTTTTTTATTATTTCAATAAATTTGTGCTTTGCCAATTTCACACATGTATATGCAGCAGACTGAGCCTCCCACCACTCCCATCTCCTTACCACCCCTTTCTCCTTCCTCTCCTCCTTGAGTACCTTGAATTGGTAAACAGAGAAACTAAAACTCAGAGAAGAAAGCTGAACCTCACACTGAAAAGTCAGAATTTACTCCCAAACTAATCGCAAAGCCCAAGCATTTCCTTTAGCCCTTCTGCCTTTGCCTCTACAATATTTATTTGTTTATTTATTATTAATTTTATTGAGCTATATATTTTTCTCTGCTCTCTTCCCTGCCTCTCCCCTTGCCTCCAACCCACCCTCTCCCATGGTCCCCATGCTCCCAATTTACTCAGAAGATCTTGTCTTTTTCTACTTCCCATGTAGATTAGATTTATTTATGTCTCACTTAGGGTCCTCATTGTTGTCTAGGTTCTCTGGGATTGTGAATTGTAGGCTGTTTTGTTTTTTTTTTGCTTTATGTCTAAAAGCCACTTATGAGTGAGTACACATGATATTTGTCTTTCTGGGTCTGGGCTACCTCACTCAATATGTTTTCTAGATCCATCCATTTGCCTGCAAATTTCAAGATGTCATTATTTTTGTCTGCTGTGTAGTACTTCATTGTGTAAATGTACCACATTTTCCTTATCCATTCTTCGGTCAAGGGGCATCAAAAAAACAAATAATCTAATTTAAAAAATGGAGCACAGACCTAAATAGAGAGCTCTAAATATAGGTATCTAAAATGGTGGAAAGACACTTCAGGAAATGTTCAGTATCCTTAGCCATCAGAGAAATGCAAATCAAAACAATTCTGAGATTCCATCTTACACCTGTAAGAATGGCCAAGAGCAAAAACACTGATGACAACTTATGCTGGAGAGGTTGTGGGGTCAAGGGAACACTCCTGCATTGCTGGTGTGAGTGCAAACTGGTACAACCCCTTTGGATGTCAGTGTGGTGATTTCTTAAAAAATTAGGAAACAACCTTCCTCAAGACCCAGCAATACCACTTTGGGGTATATACCCAAAGGATGCTCAATCATGCCACAAGGACATGTGCTCAACTATGTTCATAGCAGCATTGTTCGTCATTGTCAGAACCTGGAAACAACCTAAATGTCTCTACAATATCTTTTAAGATTGTTTATTTTCATTTCATGCTAATGGCTGTTTGCCTGAATGTACAGATGAGCACCATGTGGGTACCCTGTGTCTAAGGAGACAAAAGGAGGGAGTCAGATTCCCTGGAACTGGCCACAAAAGGTTGTGATATTCCATGTGTGTGTTGAGACCCTAACTTGGGTGCCCTCGAATAGCAACAACTGCTCTTATCTGCTAAGCCACCTCTCCACCCTCTTCCTCTTGAAATGGAGACTCATAGAAGTTTGCAAAGTCCCTGACACCGACTCTGGTTAATTCTCTGTGAGCGAGGAGACTCTCTTCATCCTGACTGTTCCCAAGCAGTTACAGTGCACACCCTCCTCAAAGACCTCAGTGACAAGTGCTTTCCCATACACTAGCCACCAAAGACACTCTTTAGAATCTCCTCATGGCTTCTAATGGGTTCAGTGAGAGGCAGAGGTGATTCCTACCAGTGGTGGAAAGTTGCCTGGTCCACTGTGGTGAAGATTTCTAGCAACTACCTATAAAAGCCAGACTTTTCATTCGGGTTTCTAAAACGCACGCCAAAAGCGTACTTACAAATTATGGCTAACATTCCCGAAACCCAACCAGTTGATTTTTCTAAAATGAAATGACTGAAAAGACTCTTTCTACCCATGCAAATCATCAAAATGTTTCTACAAATCAAAGTTCGAATCAAGAAAAACCAAGAAGCATGCCAAGCGAAACAGTTAAATCACAGAACTCCTGAAGTCAGGAGCCTGCCTGCAGAAGCAGAGAATACCCAGGCGCTGAGCTGGCTGATTTACTGTCTGGCAGCAGCGAGGGCAATGCTCCTGCCTCTGGCCCCAGCAGGAGGGAAGAAAGGGAGCCTGCAGGAGGAGCAGACTCTAAAGAGCTAATCAGAACAGGATGGTGGAAAGCAATCAACCGGAAGCTGATGCTTGATGGAAGAGTCTTCCAAGGAAGCTGAGCATTTGGGGAGACAAGTAAACCACAATGAAAATGATAAATGAGCCGACCCATCACCGGGGTAGGCATTGTTACTTGCGGCAATTAAAGTGCAATATTGGCTATTCTTTGTTGGGCTGTTATCACAATT